AACCTTCGTTAGATTTCGTATCCTTGTTTTTATTTTTTCTGGGTTTATTGTAAATTTAAAATTAAACCAATTAAGCAACTTTGAAAAACTCGGTTATATATGCCATTATCTAACTTGAAATATTGCCACATTCAACTAGCACAGTTTAATCACGTGTTTCTGGTTCGTTTAAAAGAAATGACGGTTACAGGAAAGAAAAAAAGTCCGACCAATTAAAAGTTCAGCACACTTATCAAATCGACCAATCAGGAGCCTGCGTCACACCCGGACTGTCGCGTCACCGTCTCTCCCAACCAATCACCGTGCTCCAAATTCAAACCAACTGACCAATGACTAGGCACGAATTCCCGAGCTTCCTAGCCAATCACGTCGCGCGCTGCCCAAACTTCCTAGCCAATCACGTCGCGCGCTGCCCAAACTTCCTAGCCAATCACGTCGCGCGCTGAGCCGTTTTGAACAGGATACCTTGCGCGCCGACAAATAATTCTTCCAATACTGACTTTTTTCTTCCAGGAAAATAGGAAAATGGCTTTATAAGAGCTACGAACAAGACGAGAAGGAAATGATGAGTTGATACGCGTTGAGAAGCTCTCGAAATGGCCTCAAGAATTTCGATTTACCTGCAGTGGAAAAAAAGTTGATATTAATTCAAAATTTACTAAAAACAGGTCTAATAAAAGTATTATTTGATATTTCATTTATGCCCAACTATGCTAAATATTTATGTTGATAATAAAAATGATGTTTGTAGATTTAGTAATACCAATTAGAATTTTAATTAAAGTGATACGAAAGAAAATTCTAATTGTGATGAAACAGTAATTATAAAAAAGTTAATTAATAATGCAAATACTAGAATAATGTGGTAATAAGAGTATTTAATGATGATGATCATGTTGATTAATAATAACAGTAAAGCCTTTATTGATGATATTAATACGCCAATAGAGATAATAATAACAAAGAAAATATGAACAGCTAAATAAACAATAACAATAACGAAAAGAAACATAATATAAATGGAATAAATCAACAGACAACCATTATTAAAAAAGAAAGAAAGAAAGAAAAGAAACAACAATATATATATATATACACACAATCATAATAACGGAAAAAATAGACTAACCGGCATCTCACCATCCCAGCCCGAGGCCCAGACCGAGCCCATATAAACCGCCGAGACCCAAGCTGCCTAGACCATAGAGACCGTTGAGTCCGTGGAGGCTGGCCAGTCCTCCGAGACCGAAGCCTCCCAGACCGCCGAGGCCGAGACCAGTTAGACCCCCGAGGCCAAGACCGAGGCCGTAGCCCCCGTAGCCTCCGTAGAGCCTGTTGGAGGGGGGGGAGGAGGAGGAGGAGAAAGGGGGAAGGGTAAAGAAGGAGGGAAGGAGAGAGGAAAGAAGGAGGAGGAGGAAGAGAGGGGGTGGTGGTAGGAAGAAGGTTAAAGGATGGTTGATAAAAGGTAGATAATGAGGAAGGTAGGGAAAAGAGGAGAAGGGAGATGGAAGGAGAATGGGAGAAGGAAGAAATAGGAAGAGAGAGGGGGTGGAAATGATGAGAAAGCGAGAGGATGGATAAAGAGTGATAGGAGCGAGGGGGGAAGAAAGAGAAAGTGAAGATAGAAAAGATAGAAAGAAATAGATAGAAAAGAGATAAAATGAAAGAAAGAGAAAGTGATGAGGAGATAAGAGAATGACAAATAGAATTTAAAAAAAGAACAGGAGAAAGAAATGAGACAGGAGTGAAAAAGAAGCGAAAGAGAATAAGAGAAAGGAGAAAGGAAAATATAAATAGATTAAAAAGATGAATATTAATTTGTTTTCGAAATCTTAAATACAAGAATATTAGATATAAGATATAGGATATATTATATACGATATAAGAAATATACACAATATTATGAAAGCCAATTATACGAATAACAATCATAAAAAATATACGAATACAAAAAGAGAAAAATATATATAATTGATATCATCAATAAAGATAATAATAACAATGTAAATATGAATAACCTTGCAAATACTCTTGATATTAATAATTTTATATTTATTCTTAAATGCAATGTTTGTTTGCAATGTTAGTTTCCTGGAAAAAAAGACATTATTACAACATTGCAAAATAGGTGTATGTTAATCTTCCTGATTATAAAAAGGAAAAATTATAATTTCCTAAAAGCTTTTTTTTAAAGATTGCAAGTTGCACTAAAATTTGTATTATCTGCAACAATATCAAAATACCCCCCCCCTTCCCTCTCTCTCTCTTCTTTTCCTTAAATATCTTTTAATCTATGTTTATCCTTTACTTCTTCCTTCTCCTATCCTCCTATTTCTTCTTATCATGTTTTCCTTCTTTTAATCTACCTCTTCTTTTCCTTTTATACCTTCCTTTCCTTCTTCATTTTCTCCTTATATTATCATTATTATCATCGTTATCATTAATGTCCTTCATTATCACTATCATTATCTTAATTATTACCATTTTTTCGTCTTCCTTCTCTTCCTCATCTCTCCTCCTCCACCTCCTCCTCTTTCTCAATCTCTACTTCTCCTTCCTCCTCTTCCTCTTCCCTTCCGCCTCCCTCTCTTCACCCTCCACCTCTTCCTCCCCTTCCCAACTCTTCCTTCCACTTCCTACTATCTCCTCTTCCTTCTCCACCTCCCCCTCCACTTCCCTTCCTCTTCCTCAATCTCCACCTCTTCCCTTGCACTTCCACCTCTCGTTCCTTATCTTCCACTTACTCCTTATCCTCCTCCCCCCTCCACCTCCTCCTCCTCCCCCTCCACTCCTTCTTCTTCCCCCTTCCCCCCATCCCTCCCCAATCTTCCACCCTCCACCTCCCCCTCCACCTCCACCTCCTACTCACCCTCCACCTCCACCTACCTCCACCTCCATCCCCCTTCCACCCACCTCCTACCTCCACCCCCTCCACCATCCCCCTCCACCTCCACCTCCACCTCGTACTCACCCTCCAAGCAACGGCAGCCCCAACCCGAGGTGGAAAGGATCCGGCTCCGCCTCCGCCTCCGCCCTCGGTCCGGCAGCGGGGAGGGCGGCTGCTTCGAGGGCGCCCGCGAGACACGCCCACAGAGCCATCGCGACCTGGGGAATGATGGGCGGCGGAAGAAGGGGGTGGCGGCGGGGGGGATGGTCGGGGTGGGGAGGGGGAGAGAAATTAATTAATTGGTGAGGAATGAATTAAATTGGTGAGGAATGAAGATGATTAGGATGGAGTAAAATGAATGAATTGAATTATATGAAAAAAATATATAGAGAATAAAGATATTTGTGAAATGTTATGAAAAATTAATGGAATTAATAAATGTTTAATGAATTACTATGAAAAAAATGAAAAAAATGATAAAATTAAAATAATATTAATGAAAATGATATGAAAAATATAAAATTAAATAATATAAATAATGAATAATATGAAAATATTAATAGAATGAATATTAATGAATTAATTGGGAAACTGACATGACTAGAGATAAGTAGATTAGATTAGATAAATATAGATTAATTAATGAATGAATGAAATTGAAATGAATAGTATGAATAAACAAATGATAAATGAAATACATGTAAACAAATACGATGAAATAGATTAAATAGACAGAGAAATTAAATAGATATAAATAAACACAAAACAATTAATGAAATGCATATAGACAAAACAAACAAAGATGAACAAACCAGATGCATAATCAAAGAATTAAATAAATAAATAAATAAAAACTGTTCTTCGTATAATCAGACTTTGAAATCTGTTTTATTACAGTGATTGAGAATGACTCGACACTCTGATATGTGATTTAATTGAATTCCAACTTTTATGTCCTCTGAACGAAATTACTTTTTCACAAGCATGAACATTATTATTATTAAATGATTATTATTGATTATTGGTATTGTCTTAATGTTTCGCTCTTAATATGCTTTATATATCGTTATTATGATTATTATTGCTATCATTACTATTACTGTTAATAACTGTCATTATATATATTACTATCTATATACTATACTAAATATATCTTACTATCTGCCATTACTATTTATATACTATACTATATAAATTACTATCATTATATATTACATATACTATCACTATCAATATCTATCATTACTATTACTATTATTACTATTGCTATTGTTATCTATCTATTACTCTTGTTATTACTTATTACTATTACTAATATAATCTATCTATTACTATTACTTATTATTATTATTATTATTATTATCTATTACTATTACTTATTACTACTACTATTAATATTACTGTCATTACATTGCTATTATGTTCATCATTCTTATTGCTACTCATATCATTATTATATCTAGTGCTATTTTTATTATCATTATGATGGTGGTGAAGATGATAATGATGATTGTTATTATCATTAATATCGTTATTTTTATCATCATTATTGTTATTATTATTATCATTATTATTACTGTTTCCATTATTATCATTGTTGCTATAGTTTTACTATTGTTATTATTATTTTTTATTATCATTATTATTATCGCCATTATCATTATGTCATTATCATCGTCATCATTATTAAAATCATCATTGGTATTTGTTTTGATATCACTATCACTATCATTATCACTATCATTTATTCCCTTATTATCACCATCATCATCATCATTACAATAAAAGTAGTATGTCTTCTCATACTTAAAACAAATCTAAAACTTTTTTTTTCATTATACAATAACATGGACATTTATTACATCAATGTTAATTATGGTTCTGAGCTTATCGAAAATTGGCCTGGAGCTCTAATTACTGCAATTAAGGCTTTTAATTAGGTAATCACGTTTCATAAGTAAAATGGTCCCAATTCTTGATGTTCAAAATATAACTAAATGAAAAAAATGGTAATAACGATAATTATTTAATTAATGATGCTAGTACTAGTAATAAAAGTAATGATGATGATAATGAGAAGTATGAATTATGATAATGATAGTAAAAATAACGA